TAAGTTTAGTAATGAAGAATGGAAGTTCTTCCACGTTAGTGTTATTCAATTGAAGTTGTAATCTGTGTAGGCCCTTAAAGTAATAAATTCGGCGTGGAGAACTCCTATGGAAACCGAAAGTGATTTTAGTTTACCAAATCTTACTGACTTCCTGCATAAATTTGATATTTGTCGAGTGTTTATTTAAAATCTGCTGGAGTATTCAGTAAAGTAAAAGTTGTAGTGCATAATTCCAAGACTTGTTGTAGTCATTGGTATTGCCAGGATACCACTTACTCGTTTTATGCAGCCGAAATATACAAATCTCGCTTTATTGAGGAAACACTATAATGCCTGCAAAAGTATTGCGTCAGTTAATGAGTTTCATAAATTCTACAGCATGTTTTCTATTCAGTGATTACTGTTTGCGAATTATCCGAGAAAACACATTTGCAATTGGGATGTAACACAAGGCTGAATTCTTAAACTGTCATCCTTATATCATTTCAGTCCAAACACACATATGTCAGTAGGATAGTCTATAAATGACTTTAGAGACTTGTCATCATCAACTTACATTTTGCTGATGATACTGTACACCTAGACTATGAGAAGTAACCCCTGATGCTGGAAAATATGAAAAGAATACCGGTGTTTGATTATAAGTGTCTGTGTTCTATCTCATGAGTAAAGCAGTATGGTATGGCGAGTGATGTATAGGTTACGCATAAACTTTTATATGGGGGGGCTAAGTTAGTCTCCAGGGTAGGGAAGCTGAATAGGTTGAGATGGCTATAACACGTGATGGCATACCAAGCCATCGCCTTCCTCGAGGGATAATGTTAGCCAGCACATGTTAAGGTTCAAAATGTGTTTGGGTCGGTCAAATGTAAAGCTGGTATTGGTTCATAAAACCATTGACAGTCAGCTAGAAGAACTACTAGATATATGTCTGCAAGTCTTTGTTTATGGCACAGATGCATTCACTCTGTATAATCTCACGTATCTATTCAACTCATGTTGTCGCTATTATTCTCCCTCAAATTTTCGCTCGTTAAACTTCCATTTAGTTTTATGTCTAGACCTTTGTGTGCTACATGGAATGTGGTAAATTAAACAGGTGGACTTCTTTGCAAACTCATACCGAAAGCGAGTCAGAATGACACGGTGTAGGCACAACTAAATGCAAAACATTGAATAATGATCTCCAAAATGTCAACAAATGATAAGTGAAATTCTTAATCTAGTTCTTTGCCAACTGAAAAATGGAAGCCTTTCAGCAATCTCTTCTTCCACCCAGGACTCGTCTCCTACTTTGCAAGTGTTTTTGTGCCTTGTCGCTTTTGTGCTGAGCTTTCAGTCATTCAGCATATGCCGTTGTTGTTGACTCAGGACCTAGATGACATTAGTTGATCAAGGTTTCGGTCGTACAAACACGAGTCCTGGGCAGTTGATTGGTTGCATTATCATTTCCCAAATAGAATGCAGCATACTGTATGTTAGGGTAAATCTTCCACCTTGCTTGGTGAAGCTGGTGTTCCTCAGGATACTGTTATCTCTCCTTTTCTTTTTTCTCTCTCTTGTCTTACATGACATTTCTCTTTCTAATGAGAGCAACTTCGCCAAATACACTGGTGATCTGACCGTCTCACTTCCTGTCATGTCACAATGTGTCACCAGGAGGACTTTATTTTTCAGTTTATTCGTTAATTCTGATGTCCAGTGATTTTCGTCTAAAAAGCTTAGTACTATGTGAACATTTCGCCGGTTTGTGATGGAAATTTGGTTGGGTTTACTCCAAAAGTACCAGTTTACTCGAAGCCAAGCTTGGAGTGTACGTACGATAATCTTTTTTGTAAGGTCATCACTTCGCAAGTGTCAACTGTTGCTTGCTAATGAGCATTTGTAGTAGAAAATGCTGGTGGTGTATAACAATAAAAGTTCAAAAATACTCGCATGAATGTTGAAGTCTGAAATTAGCGAAGATTACCTCACTCAGACTACTTGACGAATCGTTTCCTCCCACAACCAAACAATATAAATGACTATTTTGTTTAGGGTGGTTTTCTACCTCACCCATTTCATGCATTATGGAAAATAGTGACCGGGGTGAGAATTTTGAAAAATAAACCTACATTATATGTTTTGTGCTGGCGGTGACTTTTTTGTGCACCCACCAAACACCATTTTTGGTTTACTTGATGCAAATTACTGGCTCTAGAAATAACTCATAGATACAAGAAGTTAAAAATAATTTCCTGTAAAGAGCAGTACGGTCCTAGTATATCTTCGCACGGCTTTGAACTTTTCTTGATTCCCCTGCTTTCACTCTTCGTGGTGTCGATTCAGGTAAAATAGAGTGTTATTAGGGCTGACGGTTTCACAAGAGAATATATATTTTTTTACAATATCATTTTTACGAGCTAGTGTAAACCATTTTGATTTCTTTGTGCTCGCCTCTTGATTGTGAGTTATAGTTTCCTGATCTTCGGTAAACTTCTGCGTAGCTCGTCCCGCCACTTGACTGTGGTAGATGTAATTATCTTCAAAAGAAGTAGTATTGGGATTAATTATATGTGGTTCGTAGGATGAGGTGTTTTAAGACTGTTACTACTGTGAATGGAGTTGATCTTTCAACAATTAGCCCTTCGGTATCGTCAAAAGAAAAGAGAGAGTAATAATAGATATAATTAGAGCAGTTATTCAGACTAACAGACAGAAACAGAAATAAAGAAAATGCAATAACGGGCAGCTGAAAAAATTGGAAGTTGATGTTTTACGTGTGTATATACAGTTAATAATACAATGCTATTTTTTGTGTCGAAATGACTTTACTCAGCCAACAACCACTGTGAAGGAACTAAGCCCTAAGTTCCTATTGTAACGAAGACGCTTTGAATCGATAATGACTATGTATTTGTCCAAACTTTAAATCCAAAACGCCGGTATTCTTTGAACGAATTTATATTGTTTGGCAATTAAAGCAAGACAAAACACAAAGTCTACAAACAAATGTTTAGTACAAATGAAGTTATAAAGTACTTTTATTCGTGTTCTTTCTTCCGTCTTCCAACTTGCACGCGATCGTACCATTCGCGCCTTCGAGTTGCTCACCAATAAACAAACATTCAATTTCACGTCCACTGACAACCACCTTTTCTCATATAGTTTCTAAAACGTATAATTTTTATGATATTTCCCATTATTTTTAAGATTCTTAAAGTTGAAGTGTTACTTTGGAATGTATAATATGTACCGTATGAAAATCTGTCATAAACGTTTAGCATAACTAGCTCTGTTAACCAGCTGTTTTCTTTAGGATCATTATAAATAACTGATCATTAATTGTTCCACTACACATTTTACTTTGATAAATAGACTACAACTTAGTTGCTGTAATACTAGCTAATTCTATACTTTATACTTCTTAAAGTAAACGCAATTTCCTAGGCGTTTGTAAAAATAATTGTATACAAGTATGCATGTATAAAGTTGATAGTGCTAGGAATATCCTCGGGTACCCATGTATCTGGTGACCCAATGGGAAGCGCTTGTTATGAAAGCTATTAATGTACAGCATGCTGTATGATTGGGCCGGGCTCAAAGCAATGCAATACTGCAACTACAGTTTGCAAAAAAGTCTCAGAGCTTAACATCAAAAAATGAGGGAGGGTGGCGCATGCTGATCAGCAGATATGGCAGTGGTCGCAATTGTGAATCGCTCCAATCTGTACGACAGCAACATGCATTTTTTGACAGCCCGAGAATTAAACATTAATCTGGACCCTCAACAAATAATAATAAGGATTGTACAGATCTAATTATAAATGAAAATGTGCTTTGGCTCCTATCTACAAGCCTGTTCAGCTTCTTGTCAAGATGCTACCCATTAGGCCCTACAGAAATTCGTGAGGCATCTTACGGGTCAGCTTGTTCTCCGGCTTCTAATTTTCCAGATCTTTGAACTCACTCCTCACTTAAATACCACTTACCTACCTCACAATCATCTTTCTATTTACGCACTATTATATTCTATCTGATCTTAACTACCTAGGCCTTTATTGAAGCTGAAACTTGCTCTTTATTATTATTTGCTGCTTGCTTTAAGTCTGGTTGATTTGATTAAAAACACGAAAACACGAATGATTGAACAAAGCTTTATTTTCATCGGAAACGTGATAGTCTCCATGCTTAGACCAATATGGTTAGCATTAAACATTGCAAATGTATACTATCATTTCAAGTACTATATAGCTTCTTCTTGTATTTATCTTGTAAATATACTTCCAATAATGTATTATGCACAACTGCATTTTAGACCATTTTGCAGCTGCTCGGAATTTCCTTCTCTTCCTGAAATAGCTTTCAAGCACGTGGGGGCATAGCACTCACTCAGATATACGCTGTTCACTAGTTGACCATAACTATCAGCAAGAAGCAGAACGAAGTTTGGGTTGTCGCTCAACTTTGATGGTGACTTTAGTGAAGGGTTTACAATTTAACATTTATAAGAACCTTTCCTAATTGCTTGTACAATAATTGAACAGTTCAAGCTTTTGAAAAATTATTGATTTATAATACTTCAGGAATGTAATTTATAACGTTACTGATCATGCATGTAAAAGTGGCATGCATTTCTTGTAAACCTACCCGTTTATACGAAATATAAATTATTATTATTTTATATATATCTATATCAGTAATAATAATAGTGTAGTTAGTTGTCAGAGTAAGACGGGAGAGAATGTAAAGAAGTAGAACGACGAAATTAGTTGTCTACGCCGAATGGTGTATGGGATTTAAGGGGATACGCCATTTGGATGAGGTCCTTGTGTCGCTGCATGATTGTCCATCCTTCGCTTAAAGGCGTCCACAGACGGTGCCATAACTACATCTGCCGGTAACATAATTCGAACGATGACTCCCATAAATCATACACAAGTACCGGGGACCTAATTAAAAATCCCAACTTAGTTTATCCTTTTGCATCAAGCCTTTAACGGCCTCGGTTCACTTTAAGTCGACCTTGTGAAAGGAGGACAATTCAAACATTTTGCACGGTCAGAGAAGTTTAGAAAATGCCTCTGGAGCGTCTTGAAGAAGAAGGTCTTGAGAAAATTCCCAACTTAAGATTAGCGCAATGGGTTTTCCGGGCTGGATTAACTAAGACTCCCGATACGATGCGTAAAGAACTTATGGCAAAAATTACCAAGTGTATACAAGATGATAGTAAGTTCATGATAATATTGAAGTCACTGCTTAAAACAAATCAAAACTTACAGTTTTTAAGATGACTTTTAAGATGGCTTGATGTATCTGTCTTTTTTGCTATGCATGTATCCATTTGATTTTGTTTAAGAATCAGCCTCACCATAAGAGTATGTTTAGCTTGAATCGGCATCAGTATGAATTATTGTCTTCATTTTAAATTGCCTTCACACCCAATGCAACCGCGTATTATTGCATCTTGAAAATATTTAGGTGCCATATGACAGTATAGAATAGTAATTTTAATAAGTTTATATTATCAGGTAGACTTTGGTAAAAATACACCACTTTAATCTACTGTGTGGCTATTGCAATGATGAATATCAATTAATCTCTTGATTAAATACGCAAGGTTTTCTAGTCTTATTCTCGAACATTTTTGATGAATTCTAACTGTTCCATATAAACCCATATTAAATTTTTTTGAACATATCGTTGAGAAGCCAAATTTCAATAGTCGGAATATGGATTCATAATAATAATATTAATAATAATGTATTTCATATAAATTTACAAATTTACATGAAAATGCATGCCATTTTTACAGTCACGATCAAGTATGATATAATATCAAATCGTAGATTGTCTACAAGTTAATCGTATTTCAACTGTTAAATATTCGATACATATAATACACTCATTTTCTGAATTAGGCCGTATAGTTATTGAATTGTACAGTTGTCCTCCAGGTTGAGCGGGAAAATCGACTTCGTTCCGTTTTCATCCCGTGGTTGTAGGCATACGATAACCAACCAATATTGAGGTAAGTACACCTTTTACAAGGGATTGGAATCTGTTTTAGAAAAATTAAAGTGCTGGGGTGAATCATTAAATTGTAATGAAATAGGTAAGTGCAAGTATCTTTAATAAATGCATTAATAAAGGAAACACCCTAGGGTAACAACATTCATTTGCAATGTATAATGCTACAGATATATCACAAACTATCATGGTTTTAATACAATTATCCTCCTGCCCGTTGTTTTTATTTTATACCTTTTTGTGCATTTAGTGCACAACCGTACCCTTCAGAGAGTAGGAGTAAAATAAGTAATGAAGAGCTATAAGATGTTAAGTTTAATGGAGTAAAATGAGGATCAAGTAAAGACGTTGTCAGAAAACAAATGAGATAAGACATTGTGGAGTGGTATGAAAAGATCTGACGATAGACAGCAAGTTAATTTATAAGATGCCCCATAAATCTGAGCAGATCCCACATGGTCGCATCTCAACAATAGGCTGGGTGAATGGTATATATTTAAAGGTAGAAGCATGATCTGTCAAGGCGTTCATTGTTATCTTTTTCAAGATAAAGATTTAAGCCTTCATAAAAATCAGAAATATCTCGAGCCTTCAAATTTTTTAATGCTGTTCCTGCAGAATGGGGCGATTCACCTTAGTGACCCCCACCATATCTACTGATCAGCTAACTCCACCCTCCCACCTTTTTTGGTGTTAGGCTCTGAGACTATGATTATTATGGTTACTGCAAATATATTGCTTGGTACCAGACATGTTCGTACCCCATATTCCATCTCCCTAGCTTTCTTAATGAGTGCTTCCAATAGGTCCCCGCGTACATCTTTATGAACATATTATATATGTATGCATGCGTCCTAATGAACAGATTACTTTATAAGAAGTCAAAACCTTGAAGAATAACAAGAATAGGTTTTGTGAATAGTGGAGCAAGATTCAGCAGAACAATATAATTAGGGTTCAATATAGGTAGTATGAACTGAAGGTAAGGTCGGTTGGCAGGACCAAGTGTACTAAATTATCATAACAGTTTTATATATAGTAAACATTTGACATTGCAAAGTAACCTGTCTACATATATTATAAAAAGATATTAGCAGAACCAACAAAATTTCAGCGGCAAAGTTAAACTTTCGACACCAATAACTACCAATCAGAAAGCGACCTTGAACTCACCAATCACATTAAAGAGCCGTTTATGATAAGTGGAAGCGTATATTTGTACAAAAATGCATAGAAAAAAGTATAAAACGGTTACAATGGGTATCTTTCCCTAACATGAGACAAAAACATTTCCCAGTTCAACATTGGACTGTCAATAGAGAAATCGCACCACATTCTATACATGTATTCGTCCAAATGACTGAAAATAATATCCTTTTGTGATCCATTTATAGCGCGGATCCTGTTTTTCAGTCTCCCCGAAAAACCTTCAATGGAATTTGTATGAGTCCCAGTGAAAGGATCGACGAAATCATTGGAGTGGTTGACTCTGTGGTGAACGTAACCCAGAGATGACAGGGAATCATAGCCTTTCCACTCGTCGGTGTGCACAATTGATCCCCTTTTGACAAGTCGAGTTATAATAGGGATCAAAGTGGTCGCCTTCCTGTCTGCAATCCTTTCAACAAACCCTTTTCGAAGGGACGTGTCATATAAACCGATAACCCAAATATTGTTTGCTCTCTGACGACCCCGGTTGTACTTCTTTTTTATCAACACTGTTTCGTCTACATGGACTACTACGTCGTCCCCACCTAACAACGAAGTAATCCTGTCCATTTTCCATGAGGCTATGTCCCTGCAGTGCTGGTACCATTGAACTGTTGAGACGAGGCTGTTCTCCGTCTCCACAGCTGCCTGTCTCACTGGCTGCTTCAGTACCCAATAATTGCAGATATACAAAATTTGGGTTAGAGAGAGATGTGATCTAGCAAAAAAGGTCCCTACGAAATATTAAAATTAGCAGCTTACCCTCTCTAATACTAACTCTTTTCCAACATATTCCACAACGGTGGACAAATCCATCAGTTGACCTCGAATAGCTTTTTAGAGTCATAACACCACCACAGGAACACTTTCTCTCCTTTCTTAGCAATCCTAAGTCTAGGCAATACTGCACTACACTATCCTCCTCGAACTGCAAACGTAACCTTGTAAGGGCACGCATTGAAATGAATCAAGCGCTATACAACATTGAACTGCGTTCGTGAATCTGATTGGATAATTCGACGTCATCGCTGATTGGTAGTTATTGGTGTCGAAAGTTTAACTTGGCCATTTCAGCATTTGGTTAACAATACTACAGAAAGTTAGTGAGTCTTACAGGTAGCCGTAAAGTAAATCAATCTATGTATAATAAGAGTGTAATCAGTGTTATAATTCGTATTATCAAAGAATACATTAGGCTCAAAAACTGAATGTTATAAGGGAAATAAGAGTGATAAACTAAGAGAACATTTGCTGCGTAAGTAATCATTTTAAGTATTTTAATGATAATCTAATTTCAAGTATTGAACATGCATAATTACTAAGTATTATTAGGTTAGTCTAGGAACTAGTGTACTGTCTGTAGTTAAATATTGAAATGTCATGGTTTCACCACTCTACCAGCAGTTGAGATCATTTAGAAGGGCTAGGGTGGACATGTTAATATGTTTTTCTAGGCTCCTTTTGAAACTGTCAGGCCTTTCACAGGATCTAATCTCAGAGGGTAGTTGGTTCCAAAGTTTGCAATATTTAATGGTGAAGAAGTTAGCTCTAGTGGTGAGCTTATGGGTGTTAACCTTGAGAAGGCAGTTATGGTTGCGTAGTCCATACGATTTAGGATTAGCCCAGGTTATAGACGAGTTACTGTTACAGTGCTTTCTTATAACTTTTAATAAGAGAAATAAATTGCACTACACTCTCCTTAACCATAAGGGTTCTAAGTCCAGTCGAATACATCTGTCAAGGTATTCTATTTGCTGATCATAACCTAATATGCGTTTCGTGAGGAATCTTTGGACACTTTCAACTTTTTTTCTGTCTGCTGATTTAAAGCTACTGTATACGTGGGCACAGTATTCAAGTTTGGGGCGAATGCATATCTTATATATGGCTAATCTGGCTTCTGGGGTGTAAAAGTTGCGTAGCACAAAGCCGGTTAGACGTTTACAATCAGATACCACCTTATTTGCATGTTCAGTAAAGGTAAGATCTGAGTATGTTACCCCGAGATCTGTGACTGTGTTCGTGTTTGAGACAAGGTCACCGTACATGTATAGACACATGCTAAGTTTCCAACGTCCGAAGTGTTATCCCAGATTTAGCTGGATTGAACATTAACTGCCACTTTTCACTCCAATTACATAGACTATTTAGGTCTTCTTGGATTTTACTAACAATATTCATATCATTATAGTCGAAATCATAGACAACTTTGAGGTCGTCTGCAAAGAGGTATGGCTTGCCATACTTGATCATAGAAACAATATCATTTATGAATACAATGAATAGGGTAGGGCCAAGAACACTACCTTGTACCACGCCGCTGGTTATCGGTTTGGATGTTGATAAGTGATGGTTGACTTTAACTAACTGTTCTCTTCCTGTAAGAAAAGAAGTTATCCACTCAAGTAGCCTTCCACTTATTTCATAAGATAGGAGTTTCGATATGAGTCTCTTATGTGGGACCTTATCAAAAGCTTTCCTAACATCTAGAAATAGTGTTGCTACCAAACGACCTTTGTCTACACATTCAGTTGTGGTCGAAATAGTCTAACTGGCAAGTGAAACCGTACTGGAAAGGGGATATTAAGTTATTCGGAAGCAAATACTGAAGAATTTGCTTCTTTACAATCTTGTCGATCACACGTGAAACAACGGAAGTGATGTTGATGGGGCGGTAATTATCTATGTCCGCTATAGGCCCGGTTTTGTGAATGGGTACAACGTAAGATTTCTTCCAGCTATTTGGATATGTTCCACTCCTTATCGAAGTTGAAAATATCTTGAGAAGAAGTAGATTCATGTCATTTCCACCCTTTTTTAAGAGGACAGAAGACATTCCATCTGGGCCGGGAGTATTAGTAAGCTTAAGAGTTGTGGTAGCTTTATCGATTTCTTGGGCGTTAAAGACTACATCGCTTAAACACTTTTCTGTTTTACGAGGGAAATCTATATCCTGGTCGTTTTCTAGAGTGTACAATTTGGCAAAGTGC